CCGTGGGTGGCTGAGGTGCTTTTAAGGATTTTAAGGTGTCTCTCCCAGGTCTGAAAGGCCTCGTGGTCCCACAGCTGGTCGGTGGTCCCCAGTCCACAGCACAGGCCGGGGAGGCAGCTGCTGCCAGGCCCAGGAAGAGGAGAAAGGACGTGAGGGTCCCTGGTGAGTGTGGGACAGAGGGGGCACCCAAAAGCCACGGCCCAGCTGCTGCACCCCCACCCTGCCCTGGGCTGCTGGAGGGAGCTCTGGGGAGGCTCTGGCTGCCCACAGGCTCCTGCCTCGAGTCCCAGTGGCTCTCTGAGAGGTGTGAGGGTGGAAAGAGGAGTGGTGACAGCCCACCAGCAGCAGGGGTGACCCCTCAGGCTGCCCGTGGAGCCCCAGGACATGGGCACTGACTCTCTCATGATCCCTCAGGGGCACAGGCCACCGGCCCTCTCCTGGGTCAAGACCCAGCTCACAGCCACCCCAGGAGGAGCAGCCTGAAGAAACCAGCAGTCACCTCACTGAAAAGACAAGGTAAAGGCCACATGGCATGCCAGGGACCATCTGGGTCGTGCTGCCCTAACCCCAGCAGAGGGGACAGCTGAGTCCTCTCTGTCCTCACCCTCTAGGTGGGCTCGGGCACCTCAGTGTCACTGGTGCTCAGGGGCTTGGTGTAGCTCTGTCTGCTTGCTGGAGAAGGAGGATGCTGGTGGCCTCTTGGGCTCCTCAGTGGGTTTCTTGGTGCAGGAAGCTTAAAGGAATTGGGCTGTGGTCGTGCCAGAGCTGCTGTGAGTGGGCAGGCATCAGATGGATGTCTCCTGGTGTAGTCAGCCACCCCCCAGGGTAAAAGGGAGAGGTGGATCAGGGCAGGCAAGGTTGGGAGCTGGTTCCCATTGCTTTTTTGCCACTGCTGCATCCGAACTGGGGTTCCCTGACTGCCCTGGCAGAGTGTTGTGTAGTAACTTTGGCCCTGAGCAGGTGACTGTGTGTTTATGTGGGTTTGTACGTGGGTTTATGTGACCTTTGGAGAGGGAAGGGTCAGTCCAGCACCGTGGAAACCTGTGAGTTTTCCCAGAGCCCTTCAGAGGAAGCTGTTCCCTGTGCTGGTTACATCCTGTGCCAGGCTGGGAAGGACACTTTGAGTGCTTTTGTTCCTCTTCCTTTACTTCTGTCCTAGAAATCAGTAAGAACCTCTTCTTTTTCCCCCATTTCCTCCTGAGCTAGAGCCCCTCTGTCTCTCCCCACACCGAGTGGTGTCTGATGCATTGAGCTGGGTGCCACGTTGGGTTCAGATTCTGACTCTCCCTTTCCCTTGCAGGCTGTGCACAGCTCCTGGACGAGTCTCAGGTGACTCTCTCCTTCCAGGACTGGCTGGCCAGTGTCACCGAGCGCATCCACCAAACCATGCACTACCAGTTTGAGGGTAAGGCTCTGGCCACCACCCCACTCCACGGGCACTGCCTGGGCTGTTAAACTCTTGGCACTGTGAAAGAACTCAGCCCTAAGGAAGGCGAGCCCTTTGCCTGGCTTGGAGTGTCTGATTTTGCTCTGGGAAGTTTCTCTCTGCTTGGGTTTGTTCCCTGAACAGGGATTTAATGCTCTTCAGCAGCCTGGTGCTGGTGTTTATCTCCAGGAAAGGAGAAATTCCCTTGAATTCAAACTGCCTGGGGCCGTGGAGAGGAGGGGAGATAAAGTCAGGTGGGGTGTTGGGTCCCAGAAGTGCTGAGGATCCACTTCTCCATCTTCCTGGTACCCTGAAGGCAAGAGGATGAGCTTGAGTTAGAAGGAAGCCCTAAGAAGGATCATCAGGTTCAGGTCCAGCCCCCTGCTCCTCCCAGGGCTGTTGCTGTAGAGCCTGATTTGGGGGTGGGGGGTGAAGCCAGCAGGCCCAGACTCTGCTCTGCAGTGCACAGGCAGAGGACACTGGATCCAGTGAGATACCAGTGTGAAGGGGGGCAGGCACTGGCAGGGCTCTCCCAGCCCCCTCCTGGGGGTGCCAGTGAAGAGCACAGACCCTGAGCACCCCCTTTCCCCCAGCTCCACCCCTCCCCTGCCCTCACCCCACATCATCCTGATGTTCACAGGCAAACCAGAGCCACTGGTGTTCCACATCCCCCAGGCCTTCTTCGATGCACTGCAGCAGAGGATCTCCAGTGGGAGCACCAAGAAGAGGCTGCCCAACTCCACGACAGGTCAGAGAACTAAATCCTTCCCACATGGAAGGGAAAGAACCCAGCAGCAGCTACAAGAACCAGATTCCTCCCTCCCCTCTGGCTCCAGCAGCTTCTTCCCTCGGGGTGAGCTCAGCTGCAGTTCAGCAGAGCAGACAAAAATCTAGAGAACTTTAAGCCACAGACTGATTTCAGTTAGAGCCTTTTTTGTCAATTTAAAGTAGAAGCAGCAGCCTGTAACTCAGAGATTCAATCCCAAGCTGGTTTGAGCTCTCAGGCTCATCCAGTCCAACCCCCCTGCAAGGAGCAGGCGCATCTACACCCAGAGCAGGGTGCGCAGAGCCTCCTCCAACTGCACCTTGGATGTTTCCAGGGATGGGGCAGTGACCTCCTCTCACCACCCTCAGCTTCAAGAATTTCTTCTTTAGAGCAAGTCTAAATGTCCCCTCAACCCCTGTGCCAGATTTCAAAGTGAATAATTTTCAAGTGAAGCTGAGACTTTGTTCCCAGGCACCTGCAGGGAGCTCTGACCAGGCACTGCCTCTGAGCCAGGGGGGAGGTCACAGCCCCCAGTGCCAGCGTGTGTCCTCGCTGCTTTACACCTTCTACACCAGTGTGGAGTGTGAGGCCAGCCCCCAGCAGCTTTCTGGGCAGTTAAACACATCCTGACAGAGACAAATCACCTCTCTCTAGCCCAGGGCCACTTAAGACTCGCTTTATTAGCAGCTCCTGGAGAGGAGGCCAAAGCTGAACACGGGGGAGCTGGGGCTGCCTCCCAGCCACGGCAGAGAGCTGCAAACTGGAGCAAAGATGGGAGGTTAAAGGGAAAAAGGGAGGGGAAAAAAAAGGAAAGAAGAAGGAGAGGGTGAACTTTATCCCCCCTCACTGCCCTGTCCCTCCCACAGCTTTCGTCCGCAAGGACGCCCTGCCCCTGGGCACCTTCTCCAAGTACACCTGGCACATCACCAACGTCCTGCAGGTCAAGCAGATCTTCGATACGCCCGAGGTGAGGCAGGGGGGCAGCTCCCCCCCACGGGGCGCCAAGCCCCGGAGGTGGCTGCTCCCGTGCTCTGTGGCAGCTGCCCCTGGAGATCACGCGCAGCTTCGTGCAGAACCGGGACGGGACCTACGAGCCCTTCAGGTGCCCCCGGGTGGAGGTGGAGAGCGTGGAGCCCTATGGGCCCCTGGAGAAGCAGCCCCCCATCCGGCCCCTGGAGCTCAAGACCTTCCTCAAAGTGGGTGAGTGGG